GGTGAAAGTTCACACACATAGACCCTCCAGGAGACGCGAGGCGTTGCTTTTGCCTTTCTTACCAGGCCTCAGTTTCTTCTGCTGTAAAGGAGAGCCGGAATGGCCCCAGCGATCCCCGTGCACTGGGTTGGAGATCTGGTTAAATCCGCAGGCCCAAGCCAGGGAGAGGCGACACCAGGAATCTGCCGCCCCACATGCGGCGCTCACACGCTCTTGGTCTCTGCCTCCGTGCTCCCGTGCTCCTTGCGCTCCCTCAGCCCTACTTTATTCCACCTCACTGCCCTCACGCAGGCTCTCTGGGACCCTCCAGGCCAGGCGCACGAACACACGCGCATCGGGAATGCGCGCGGCCTGCGGAGGTCCTCTAGTGCGCATGCGCCGTGGTGACTCACGTGACTTCTCTCAGAAGCTGGCAACGGAAAGACGGAAGTCGGAATCGTCCGCGCTCTGTGGCGCTTACACCGTGGAGCACGTACCGAGCCCGCTCCAGGGCCTTGAGGAAGATGAGGGCGGGGTGGAGCCCAGCCCATACTCCACCTGACCTACAAGCTGTCACTACCACCGTGGGGTCGTTCTCTTGAACAAATCTGTTTACCCCCTGCTACTGTGCAATGCACAGCTATAGTCGGCCGGCTGTGGGTAGTAAAGGGGCTAACCCCGGGATCCAGATGTGCAGCCTGGGGAAGTACTGAAACTGCTGGTGCCCTGTTTCCCCTGGAAGATGAGACCACACGCAGCGTCGTGGGCGTCGGAGGAGGCTAATCTGGTATCTGGAGGACATCAGAAGAAGGCCCAGAAGTCGGCCACCACCCTCGAGTGTCAGTTCCAGTCCCTCGCTTGTCCACTTCTTTCTTTTTCAAACACACTTCATCTGCAGACTAGGAGCTTCCACCTTCACGATACACAAGCTGAAGGAGTGGCTCCTGCTTGTGGCTTGGCAGCGTTCTGAGTGGTCACTTATTGTTTGCAGAAATGCCACATAGTTCTTTTAAGATGGATTTGACTTATTTTAAAATGCCACCTGAGTAACACGGCTGGTGTCACACACACAAAAGTAGTAACGGCTGTAGCCACTATGAAAAATTGGGAATCCCCACGTCAAAACAAAAAGAGAAGTGGCAATTTGGCATTTAGGAAGGCACCAGATAGGATCTTCAGACCTGAGGAGCAGCGGCTCTAGCGGATAAACACATGTGCTGGGCATGGACACTGCTCCCCCAGGTCAAGGGTCTGCAGTCACCTCACCGTGGAATGAGTTGTACAGGACAATTTCCCATAACCAAGTATTGAAATGTAAACAGAAGATAATGCTTGTTCTAACAGTATTTTCTTTGTCAGGCTGCCTTGAACTCACTATGGAGTCCAGGCTGGCTGTGAACTCTCAGCAATCCTCCTGCCTCAGGCTCCTGAGGGCTGTGATTATAGGTGTGTGCCACCATGCTCAGTTTACTTTCACCTATCTTAAGAGCAAAGATCTCCTATGACCCAGAACAAGTATTCAGGTTTCATGATACTTGTTATGGCTTGTGTCTAGTTATTCCCGCAAAGCCTCATGCAGTCATGGATTAGGGGTTTTTTTCAGAGGTGGCAGGATCTTGAGTGCTTGGTGCTGGGATCAAGGGTGTGTGGTTACTAAATCAGTCCATCGATTGCTTTGACATAGTTCTTCTGGGTAGGATTAAGGATGTAAGTGCTACCCCTGCCCTAGGGTGGGTAGAGACAAAAAGAGGCTTGTCTTAATCCCCTGTTGCTTTGCTACCTTCTTCCCATTAGGAACTATTTTCCTCTGCAGTGCCACCCTGCCTTAGACTTGATTTTGGACTGAAACCTCTCCAAACTGTGAGCTAATAAACCTTTCCTCCCTTAACTTTGGGTTTCAGGTATTTTGTCTCAGCAACAAGGAAACAGTAACTAAAACAATGCCAGAGACAATACAACTGTCAGAGGAGTGAGGCTTTACCTATTCGGCTATCCTCACTGTGGCCACAGGGTGAGGCCCGGCCTGGGCAGGGTGGCTGGAAGCATGCAGGGTTAGTCCTGACTCTGGGCAGGAGGCTGAGGCAGCACCTCCTCCGTGGGGTGGACCAATCTTTCCCTAGTGATTTAATCAAACATGAACCACGAGAAGAAGTTATGTTCATCTTAAGGTGCACAGGGGATCCTCTGCCCCAGAGCTCCTGGTCACTGCAAGCCAATGCCAGAAGCCAATTCTCAAATTATCAAGAAGAACAACCTATTCTGAGAACATTCACCATTCCTTGCAGGCCAGAGTGGTGACTCTGAGGACCTGGCATGACAATAATCATAACCAAATGCATTATCTTGTTTCCTGAGACCCTCGCTCTCATGGGAACCGGAATGCTGATGTGTCACATGTTCTGCCCTGTGTTCTCAGCTGGGTGATTTGCCCTCATGTGGCCGGGACAGATAAGAGGAGCAAGAGATTAGAACCTAATGCAAGGGCTCAAAGCCAGCAGGCACAGCACATACCCGTTAGCACCAGCGCCTGGAGTGGGGTCCGGAGAGCAGCAAGCTCTCATTCTCACTGGAGAATGAGAACAGGGAGAGGGAGAGGGCAGCAAGACCATCTTATTCTTGAGTTCTCCTGGGGTTAGTAAAATAGTCACTGTAGTAACAGGCAACAAGATTTGGCTTTGGAGAAATTGCTGTTGGAGCCCAGATAGAAAATGTTTACAATCTCACTTGCACTAAGGGGAAGCCTTCTTTAATAAGAACAATCAGGTGTTTTCAGGGAAGCTGAACAATATCCTATGTAACATCAATGTGCTGGTACTCTGGAGGAGCCTTCGGTGATCCTCTGCTCTGGGGCTGGACCAGGAGAGGAAGTTTCAGGAATGCACAGCCCTGATTTCAATCTCAACTGCTCTGAACTCTGCCAGCAGGCACAGAAGGTACCTTTCCCTATCCTAGAGAAGTTCCAAGAAGGAGGCCAAGAATGATAAAACGTGATTGAAATAGAGTCCAGGAAGAGAGTTCCAAAGAGGGAGCTGAAGAGAAGGTAGAAAGGAACTACAGTGGGTTTAGAGGTCAGAGTCCCACTCATACTCATCTGTGTACCCATTATTCATCACCTAAGGCACCTCACCTTGGGCTAGGACAAGAATCCAAGTGGTCAAGGCAAAGCCCTAGCTTCAAAAGTCTCCTCTTCAGTTCCAGTGACCAAGAACTGAATGAAATCCAAAGTGGGGCTGGACAGAAGTTGGAAATAACCCTGAAGCAAAGCGCTTGAGAATCTGAAATGTTCAGCATGGCCAAGGCAAATATATCCATCCTTGCAATTTGTTTATGAGACCAACTGCTGGCTGAATAGTGAAGCAATTTTCAGGGCTGGTTGAGAGAGTTCTCACTAGACAAAAAGGATGTCATCATGTTGTATACCTAAAAGGTACCAATAAACTCTAAAACAAGATTATAGCTTCAATTGTGTAGTTGTGAAGTGGTTGTTGGTACAAAGCAATCATATTGTGATTTCCACTGACTTTTCCTCTGTACTAGATCCTGTATGATTCATGTCGGGTTTTACTCAGGCCGCACAGGAGAGAAATGGCACAGCCAATGATGGCATCTCTTTCCTCCACACCAAAGTTAGCAGAAAGCCCACTGCAAGTTACCAAGAAAATAAGCAGTACTGGTTCATGGTAATGAGTGCACTAAGAAGTCTGTTCCCCTGGGACTAAGGTTCTTGTAATTCCTCAGCCTTTGATTAACTGAGATTTATCATCATTTAGGACAATAAACTTGTTGCTGTATGTCATAAATACAGACGTAACATTTTCTTTACTTTCATTAAATAGACAAATAACCGGGGTATCTCCAGTCCCAGGAGGGTGTGTACTTCACTGGATTTATGATAAATGCTTGACCTCCAGCTTGGCCCTAATTAGACAAGGGGGCAGCTTTAGGAGCCAGGGTCTAGCAGGTGAAGGAAGTTAGGTCACTGAGAGCCTTCTCTGGACCAGCCTTCCCTCCTTCTCTTTGCTTTCTGGCTGCACAACATAAGCTGCTTACCCCATACACACTTCTGCCACAACCCAGAGGCGGTAGGGCCAAAGACCATGGACCAGAGCCTCTGAAACCTTGATCCAAAAATAGCCTTTTCTCCTTAGGAGTTGATTATCTCAGGTGTAGTTATAGTGATGCAAACTGACAAACACAGTGTCTTAGTCACTCTCTTGTCACTGGGGCAAATGACCTGATGCCCGCAGCATAAAGGAGAGGTTTATTTTGGCTCACAGTTACAGTCCATAGTCTGCTGGCTCCAAGGCAGAAACAACATGGCAGGGGGGCTAGCGGATGTCATGGTGGCCAGGAAGCAGACAGAAGGGAGGAACCAAGGAGGAAGATAGACTCTCCAGGTTCATGTCCCCAGCGTCTTGCTTCTTCCAACCAGGCCCACTTCTCAACCACACATTCAGCTCTGAACTCAGCCCTTATTGAGTAGAGTGCCGCCATGAGTCACCTTCCAAAATCCCTGCTTCTGAACAGATGAGGCTTTGAGGGAACAGTCTGGATCTGAACCATAACATTCTGCCCCGGCCCCCAAAAGACTTATGTTCATCTTCTATACAAAATGCATTTAGTCCATCTCTAAGAGTCACTAAAGTCTTGGCAGTTTCAGCATTGCTGAAAACTCCAAGTTCAAAGTTTCCTCTGAGACTCAAGGCAAACGCTTAACTATGAGCTCCCGTAAAATTCAAAAAGTTAAGTGTTACCAATATACAGTGGTGCATGGATAGATCAGTAATCATGCGGGCAATGGGTTGACTGGTTCCTGTGTCATAAGAGCTGCTTGATGGAATCTCTTTCGTACCATGTTGCACTCTCATGACCCAGCAGAATGTCACCAGACACCAACCAAAGTCAGCACCCTGCTCTTGGGCTTTCAGCACCACGAACTAAATAAACATCTTTATTTTATATAAATCATTCAGCCCCAGGTGTTCAGTTTTAGCAACGGAAAGTGGACTAGGCCAGCTTACCTGTCTCACTTCCAATCAAAGGCTGGTTTGCAAAGTGCTTGACAAAATCCTTTAGAGATGAGTATTCATTAAAGCCAAATTTATATGAATATCCAGTGTATTCAACATGGAAGTGCTTGACAGAGTCTTTGGCTCTGAAAGGAAAAAAGAAGTGTTTAATTTTTTTTAACATTTTTTTTTAAGCAATGTCTCACTGTATAGTTCAGGCTGAACTTGAACTCACTATGTAGCCCAGGGCGGCCTCAGATTCTCACCAATCCTCCTGCCTCAGCCTCCAGAGTGCTGGGATTACAGGTCTGTGCCACCATGCCTGGCTTAAAAATGAGTTTGTTTGCTTCTTAAGGCAAATATAAGTATTAGTGTCTCCCAGGAGATGATGGGGTTGAAGTAAGGTTATGCTGTGTAGTTCAGGCTGGCCTTGAACTTAGTATGTGGCCTAGGCTGACTTCAAACTCATGGATCACAGGTGTGTGCAACCACACCTGGCTCACCATTAACCTTTTTCCAGGACTGAGAATGTGCGATCACTGAAGTCACTGACGGCCTTAAAGAACATCATTCATTTCTTTCGGCGTGATATTTCCTGTTCAGCTTTCCCCCTACTGTCAGAGGCCATTCCCCTCTCTCTAAGTGTCACCCTTACAGGGGCAATATCTGGGGACAGCAGGGAGGAGCAGGTGGGAGCAGCACAGGATGTGCTCACCTCTCTCCTCTGTCTTCGGGCTGCCAGTTCAACTGCCGTCACTGGACTAAGTGAGCCCAGTCCTTGTTCCCCCCAGCCTGCGCCACTGTCTCTTGGATACCATATTTCCAAGCCGTCACTTCCCCCGCATCTCTGAAGGTTAAAGGAGAGCTTTCTGCCCCTTACTGGCCCCATGTGTTCTTACTGACCTGCTCCATGTGCCCCATCCTCACCCTGCTGGGCGTGTCAAGACCACACCCTGACTCTGAGCCCTTGGCCTGGCTCCTAACAAGCTCTCAGCAATGCAGCTCATCTGTGATCACAGCACCCCCTGAGTCTCTGCTGGTACAAATGCCAGTGGGCTCGGTCTCTCCAGGTCCTGGTCAAACACCACCTCCTCTGTCAAGCAACCACTGATGATCCCAACCGAAGGGGGTTGCTTCGTCTGTTCTCCACTATCCTGCCTTCTTTGATGTTATTACTGCTTCTGACTTTGTGATCATTTGGAGTCTTATTGGCCCAGTGAGGTGCTGGCATAAGGTCTTTGATTCTTCTGTGAGACTTATTCATGTGGGTGGTGCAGAGGCAATGCGTTCAAATGTTTATTGTTAAGGGAATAAGCTGGTACCTCTCCGGGGAGGGGCTGCTGTTTGTTTATTATTGTCCCATCCCAAGTGCCCATAATGGAAACCAGTGATACAAACAGTGTAAGCAAAACATGTGGAGGATGTTTAAATAAAAAATTCAATAATTTATTACAGGAAAAGACCCATTGCTATTAAGCCCCCTCAAAATACTCCCCTTCACTTTGACTATGCTTATCGCACCGTTCTCGCCATTTTCCGAAGTAGTTCTCTTTCACGTCTTTATATCGTGAGAGGGATTAATGGCAATGTGTCCTTTAATGTAGTAATAATTTTTAAAATTCAAAAACACAGCGTGTCTTTTGATCACACCTTGTACATTTTAAGTTTTCATGAAGATGAAAAATATATGCCATGGTGTAAGGAGTTTATGATCTCATTTAGATGAGATGTATACAGATAAAAAGTCAATATTACTTAATACAATAATCCCACTTGATTGAGGCTTTGGGATGGTCCATGCAACAAAACACCTGCAACCTGATTGTGTGGTGAATTTTAATTCTACTAGGGCAAAGAAAGCATGAATTTGACTGCTACCCACAGAGAATTCCATAGTGGATTAATTATTTCCCCACCCGTGTTGTTTAGAAAATTTGTAAACAAAATATCCCAGGGTGCTGTGAAGCATACTAACGAGTGTGGTTTTTGTCTTTAACTCCTATGGCTGGCAATCTCTAACTCCCTTTCTGTAACTTCTCCCGCCCGTGGGAATAGGAGGTGCCCACCAGTCCCATTCTAAGGTGCCCCATACCCTGGAGCCCCGACACCTCCACACAGTTAATCAACAATGACCCTTTATGAAGGGTGTAGCCATGATGGGCTTTGCAGATCCTCAAAGTGCTGATTGCAGTCCCACTACTGCAGGACGGGCAGACATCGGCTGGGCCTGCCCTTGTCACATGAACTCTGAAGCAGGGCTTCCTCTGTCCAGAGGAGAGGAGCTGAGTGAGTGACTGAGGCACCGCCGGTGCTGCAAGTTCCTGGAGTCTTCTGCAGGATCCTCAGGGAGCAAAAGGGCAGTGGGAACCCCAGCTCTGCAGTGTCAGGGACATGCATGGAAAAGAGTGAGGGGAGCAGGGGGTGCAGCCGGGACCCTGTGCCCTAGGAAGCCACAGAGGCCAGCATACTTTGTTCAGACTTCGGAGGTGACCGGCCTGTGCTGACTTAAACTGCAGTGTGGTCTGGAAATTTGCTAAATGTAGACAAATGAATTCAGGACGCTCCAGCCGGGAAGAAGGTAAGCGTAGGAATCAGTGGGAGGGACAGTGACATTGCCCAGTGCTGTGGACCCTATGAGGGACTTGTGCACCCTCCACCAGGACAGCCACAGGCTGAGTGGCAGCCTGAGGTTTGGCCAGAGGCTGGGGAAACTCCAGGAGTCCACCCATCGCAAAGGGGCCACAGAGCAGGGCGAATTCCCTGCTTGTCCCGGAGCCGGAGTTATAGTCTGGCGAGTAGCAGCGCCTCCCTGACTGTCACCTACCAGGGATGCTGGCCAGGGAGAGTGGCAGGGAGGCCCCAAGACTGGATGTCACCTGGTGGGCACTCCTAGCCTCTGGGGAATGGGATTGGGAAAGGATCTGCACACCCCTCACCCCTGGGAGAAATTCAGCTGCCTTCTTGGCCTTGAGACTGTGGACCTGGACCTGGCCTCCGGGGCAGAGGACAGGGAGGAGGACACATGTCAGACACCAGGAGTCAGCTCAGGTTCTTCCTCAGCCAAGGGAGGCTGGGCTCACTCCTCCCTGCTCATCTGGCTTCACATCTCCAGGCTGGCTGGGGAGCAGGGACGATGTTTAGGTCTCACCCCCGGGCATGACTGGTGCCCTGGGGATGGGGAGTCTGCTGTCAGGCAGCTGAGAGGTGAGGATGGGTCAGCAGCTGGCAACAGGGGGCCTCAGGTGCCCACCCCACACCTACCTCACGGACAGGGAGTACTGGCCGGGCTGCTCATGTCTGTCCCTCAGGAGGTAGCTGCCATCGCACCCGTTGGACAGGAGCAGGGCCTCCGCCGCATGACGTGTGAGGTCACCGTGGTACCACCTGAAGGGAGGACAGCGCTTTCACCGGGGCTGTAGGGCTCCCCCAGGCTTCCCCTCCAGACCACTTGGGAGGGCTCCATGGTCAGCCCCTGGGAGGCTGAAGCGAGAGTGTGGTCACAGCTGCCGGCTGTGGGCCCTCAGGGCAGCCTCCCTGGGCTAAAGTCTCCACTGTGTAGCATCGGGCAGATGCTAGATCTGTAGCATCACAGATCTTGGAGGACATGGTATCCTTCCCATGGGACAGTAACAGACTCACACACATAGGGAAGCACCGCGCACTGAAAAGCCTGCAAAGTAAGGGCAGACACAGGGCAGGGGACCCAGAAAGCAGGTCCCAACTTAGCCCGACCCTGTGTCGCCATCTCTGAGCACTGGAGCCATCTGGGAAGCTGCTCTAGCAGATCCAGATGCCAAGATTTCTTTCCCAGTGGGTTTTATCTTCTTAATAATTTGCCAATTTAAAATTCAGATCACACTTGCCCCACTCTGTAAGATGAGGCTGTCAGACTTTTTGAATTGACTCAAAGTGCAAAAGGTATTTTAGATCATTCCCTACACATACACACACACACGTGCGTGAGCCAGAGACTACAGAAAATAGCACTCATCTTCCCCTGGACTATGCCCTTGGTCATTTTCTATTGATTGTGAACAGGCCCTGACATGACCCACTAAACTCATGGTGAGACCACCTCCAGGTTGTACATGAGTTTGGAAAGCAGGACAGTCAATGGTCAGTGTTCCCTGCTTTCTGGAGCTCCAGGCTGGACCCAGCACAGCCAGAAACAGCAGTCAGTGCTGTGCTGCTCTGTGTGTCACCAGGGTCTTACTAGAATGCAGCTTTGAGGCCACCCCAGCCTGCCAAGCCTGGTGATTGTGGCTTAGACTGGAAGAAGCAAGGGTGTGAAGGGCTCTGGCGAATCTGTCTTCCTTCGGGTGGAGCCGACTATGTGGCCCCTCACTGTCCTGATCTTGGGGAGATGGCCCAGGTGTCGATTCTAATGGGCTCACCATCCTGAGTGCTGGAGTCAGGCCACAGCAACTACCTGGCTACTGACCTCATCCCAGTTCCTGTGCTCCCTGGGGTGGTGACGGGCGCTTCCTGGTATGGAAGATGAAGCTCTCAGCCCTCAATGTCCCTGGAAACCATGGGCGTGGGATGAGGTGCCATCTCATTTAGCATTTGTGTTATAGTCAGGCTCTATCTAAGCAAGAGAAATCATATTATCTTCCCGCTGACCCTGGTGGTGGACCCAGTCCAGTAGAGGGACACAACAAAGCCTTTGCCAAGGGACAGGGACGTCTCTCCGTGCTGGGCCTCAGACAGGCAGAGGCCAAAGGGAGATCTTGCTCTGCCCAGCAGAGAGAATCCCGGACAGGGATCAGAAAGGAGCTGCCTTTTCTTGCTCCTGTTTGAAGTGCCCACATTCACAGTGCCACCAACTGAGAGAAGTGCAAGGCCACTGCCCAGCTTTGGGAAACAGACTCAAGTGAAGACAGGTGGCTGTGTGAACATCTCAGCCATCCATGAGTTAAAGGTTGGTCCCAAGTTTCCGGTAGGTGTGGAGGTACAGCCCAAGGAAAACAGCTCTGGAAGGAGAAAAGAATCTGAGGGAGTTGGAGGCCAGGATTCACCTGTTCTTAAAGTAGTGTGAAGAGTGAGGCCAGAAGTTCTGGGACATGGAAATGCAGAGTTAGAGACTCAGAGGTTCAAGGACACAGTGACACAAGAGCCAGAGACACATATAGACAGAGCAGCAGGAGATAGACAAAGGCCCACCAGTACCAAGATAGCGACAGCACATAGGGACAGGGAAATCCAGTTGTGCTGCAAACAGGAGCATTCATGGGACACCAGGAGGAAGACACAGAGAGGCCCCAGGAGCTGCTTCTTGGAGAGGGACCAAGGGACCGACTGGGTGTGTGTGTGTGTGTCTCATCCCCAGGGCAGCCTGCACAGACCTGAAAAGCATCCCTACCCCAGGTTGGGGTTCAGGAATCCCTGGAATCGAAATCCCTTTGCTGAGAGCTTGCAGAGCTGAGGAGGGCTGGGTTCTCTGGAACCTGTCAAAGAGGGTCCAGTCCCCTCTCCTGCCCATACCTTTTGCAGGGCTGGTTTGGAGTTAATCATGTTGAGCTGTAGTTTCCAGTGACCACCATTGTGGGTCAGCATAGGACACAGACAGGGCCACTTGCAGGAAGCTATGCCTACAGGGATGGTTCCTGTACCCTAGAGAATATGGAAGACACAGGCAGAGCCTGTTTCATCAGCGGTCTCTCCTGTAGTGCTTTACGTGATGGCTGACCAACATCAGTCCAGCCCTCTATGGACGGCACGGAGACGGGAGTGTGGGTGACAAGCAGATCACTGGGTGCACAGTGGAGACCCTGGCTGTGTCTGCTCAACTTGGGGCAACTCAACCCACACTTGATGACCAGTCTTTGTCAAGCTGTGGGCTTCAATGGAGAAGACACAAAGGAAGACCTTGCAGCTTTCCTCCCACAGAGAGGCGAGGCGGGCAGCCGGCCCTTCATCCCAGAGGACTGACATCTGTGAAATGATTATCTGGCGAATCAACCCAAATCTACACATGGTGTGCCCAAAACTCCAGTGAATATTTAAATAAGTAATTTGACTCTAGTAAAACCCACACTGCCACGAAGCCCCCTCAAGTCACTCTTCTTTGGTTGGAACACACTTATCCCACCATGCTTGCCACTTTCTCTGGCGGCTCTGGGATCCTCTTTCCTCAGGGTCTCTGTCGTGCAGTCCTTTGTTGGCTGCATTCATGTTCTAAACCAATTGAAAATGTTGAGCTTTCCTGTTTCTTTCAGACTGGGGGAAGAACCACGGTGAATAAGGTGGATGAGGACACAGCCTCTTGTTTTCACGAGCCTGACTTTCCTGTGGATGGCACTTGGCAGCCGCTCTCACGGTATCTTTTTTTATAAGACCTGGCAGAGACACTCACAAAAGAGGACTTGCAGAATTGCTCCGGAAAGTGGTGGAAATGCTGGGAAGAGTGTGTCTGAAGGGAGGGAAGCTGGAAGGTCATTGGTGGCAATGTGTCTCACTGGACTAAGTTGCTAGGTGGGCACCCAGCCTATCTTGTGCTCACCCCTTGAAAGGTACTGGTGGTCAGAACAGAGAAACAGAAACACGAGGCCTGGGCAGCATGAAACATTCACAGAAAGAGCAAGTTAGAAGACAATTGTGAGACACTAAGAGACATTTCAGAATGTTTTGGATTCCATTTTGAAAAATACACAAGAGTCACAGAACTAGTTTTAGGTGAATGTGAGTCACTTCTGCTGTCTAACCCAAGGAAGTTACTGCATTCCGTCCCTGCCCCTTCCACACTGCCCTGGGCCACCACTCCGTGAGCTATCTGATTAGCCGCTGCCACACATCACACTCAGCTATGCAGTTGGTCACCTGACGACAAGACCTGGTGACGGAACGACCCACTTTCCTCCATCGAGTGGCCCCACGCCACTCACTGACCACGCCTGCTCCAGCCCTCTGGCATCTGGGCCAACCTGAGCATCAGACTTTAACATGAGCCACAGGCCGATGTCACAGAGGTGACGAGGGGAAATGCCGCCTGAAACCAGGAGCCAAGCCACGCAGACTGCGTGGTCTCACTTCAGTCTGTGTGTGTGTTTACAGAAATATTTTTACAAGACTGGAAAAAATCAGAGCTGTATATTTTAGGTGGTAGAACTAGGTTGACATCTTTGAGGCTTTCCATTATTTCCCCAATTTTCAATAGCAAATATACATTATATATTTCTATGACTGTTTATTGTGAATACTTCTAGATGTACAGGAAAGTAGGAAATAGAACAAATGCTAATATAACCCATGCCCACATATAAGTAATACCCATACTTTAGTGACTGGCGGAGGACCCCAGGCCTAGGGGTCCTATCTTCTGCGCTCCTCTCTCCCCATGTGCCCTCCTTCATGGTGCCTTTTTTTCCTGCCCCAAACACCACCTTTCCTGCCTGAACTCACAAGCGTCCCGTGGCTCCCGGGCCCTTCCCCAGGCCAGCACACTCCCCGGGAGCTCCTATCTGTACTCCGGTGCCTCTGTGGCCCATCCCAGTGCCTCACACAAGGCCCAGCTCTGCCCCTGCATCTGTGAGGGAGAATGCAGTGGAGTTGCTCCTGGGTGGAGGACCTGTGGGGCGAAGTCACAGGAGGAAGAGGAGGAGCAGCAGGAAACACAGTCTGGGAGAGCAAGCTCAGGGAGGCCCCAGAGCTTGTGTGCAGCTGTGTCACCCTGCCTCCATCCACAGCTCCCCAGAACGTCTCACCACACACTTTCCTTGGCTTGCTTAACTCCTTCTACTCTAGAGAATGGAATGCTCCCACAGTGCAGCAAGGGCCCAGTTAATCCAGATATCCCCTGGCTGTGTGTACTGGGCTATCTTGAGGAGAATGCAAGCAATTACGCCTTTGGTAAAACAAGCTGTGCTGGTCTCCAGTAATCACTGAACTTTCTTTTCTCCCTCAGTTCACACAACCATGAGAAGTTGTACCCGTTTAATAAAAAGAGAAGTTTGATGAAATTTAGGAAGTTGCATCAGTGGCCAGGGGCTCTGGGTCTGAAAGCACGTAAACTTGGGCTTTTTTCTCTTTTTCTTTCTCTTTTACAGCACTAGGGACCCAGGGCCTCTGCACTGGAGCATGCGTTCCGACCTGAACAATGACACAGGATGACATTTCTACCTCTCCTGGGGGTGTGTGAGTTACAGGAACTCAGCACACGGGGCCTGCCTGGTTATAGCCAGTGTGCGGTGCTTGCCTGTCCCGAGCGGCTGTGCAGGTTGGGAGCCTGGTGGCTCCTTTCCTGGGGACGGCATCTGTGATAGTGCCCACAGGCCCCGCTATGTGGGCTGAGTGGCACCTGTGCCTGTGGCCTGGTGTTTGTGAAAGCAGCCCGTGGCCTGAAGAGCCTGACCCGTCTCCCACCTTCTCAGTCTTCACACAGCTGGTCCTCCCGCCTCTGCCTCCCATCCCACAGATCCACTGCGGAGTGAAACCATGCCCTCAGTTTCTGGGAATGCTGTCACACTTAGGTGAAAGCAAGTGGGTGCTTTCAGACCGGCTGTCTATAGACCAAACACAGAAATATGTCTAACTTCCTTCTTTCTTCCCTCTCTCCCTCCTTCTCTTCCTTCCTTCTTCCCTTCCTTCCTTTTTGTTGTACTGGGAAATTGAACCCTTTGCACTGAACTACCACCCCGTTACTTTATCTCTCTTTCATTTTGAAACAAGGCTTTCACTAAGTCACTACATTCTGAGGCTGGCTTTGTATTTGCAGTCCTCCTGCCTCAGCCTCCCAGGGTACTGGGATAACAGGTCTATCATGCCTAGCTTAATTTCAGTATTTTAGAAAATCATAGTCCTGTGCAAATCTGAGCACGTCATATGGGTCCCGGACAGGCAGGTGTGCTGCAGTGCAGAGTACAGCTGACAGGACTTACATACCCCAGAGCTCAAAGAGACACAGAGACCCAAGAACTGAGACCAGTACTCCCTGTAATTTAACCACTGTGCCATCTGCTTGTATCTATCAAGATATAAATGCAAGAACTTCCTAACTACTCAAATAAGCTACTACAATCACTTGAAATTAAGTCATTCAGGTCAGCCACGTTTTATCCATCAGTCGCATTGGATTGTTTGTCTTTATGGAGCTTTTAAAAATACTCAATTAGGCAGGAGGTTTGGTACAGCTCAGGCCTCACCAGTGAGTCAGACATCTAAGGAACAAGACTAATTCTCCTCAGAATCTTGCCAAAGGCAACAACAAGTCCTCACAAAGATTTCCCAAATTATTCCCAAAGCAGCCATGCTCTCCAGGGGCAGATGCTGATTCAAACTGATCATTACAGGTCCAGTTCACAAGCTGTAATGATGTAACAACCTTGGCAGCTTAAAGTTGTCCATTCCTTGGTAGAAGTGAGAAAATAGCAGGAAAACAGATTCTGGAAATTAGGGAGGGCCAGTGAGCATGTTTAAAGAGGGGAGTAGAAAAGGTTCTAAATCTGATTTGTGGTGAATACTGTATCATTCCTTAGAGTTGCAAAAAGGTACTGGATTCTACACTTGAAATAGGTTCATTTCGTAATATGTAAATATACCTCCGTAAAGGTGTTAACCAAAATTCCTCAAACTAACAAATGAGGTGTCAACATTTGCTGATGTTTTTGAGAGACCAGAACACACCTGACAGACTTACATGAGTGAGAAGAGCCTCAAGCCCTCCATATATTTAGCGACGTGTTCTAGATAGTGACCCAACCACAGAGATGTAGAGGTCCAGGCCTAGCAAGGCCCAGGCAGAGGGATTCCTCAGACCTGCTGCATTTTCTAGTAAAAGCAAGACCTGGTACCCCCAAGTCGCCCATGGCTGTTTTGGATGCATTTTAGGGTTCTGAGACAGAGAAGTCCGACTCCAGGGCACTCTGCTGTTGGTGACTCTGGGATGTCTGCTCTTTGTAGGGGGAGGGTGTGTGAGGCTCACAGAGGGGGCACCACCTTGGGCACAGAGATGCCATCTCGTTCATTGTGGCCACCTAAGTGTGGTCAGCAGGACTCCAGCAGAGACTGGGCTTCAGGGTCTTACTAAAGGGCCAGGACTGAGTCTTTCCTGCCTCTCTGTTCTTCTAGGTTTCTAACTATAGATGACTGAGAAGACTGAAGACACAAATGGCCTTGAGCTTAATGATTCAGCACAACTCTACAGTTAAGAGCCCCAGTCCACCTCTAGGGCATGGACTGTCTGGATCTCACAGAAGGGACTCAGTGGAGAGGTGTGAGGCTGGGATGTTACTCCATTAGCATGAGCCCTGGGACCCAACACACACACACACACACACACACACAC